TCGCCTTTACTGCCTGAAGAAAAGTGTGACATAAATAATATTTCTTGAAAGTCGCTATAACTCCCTGGTCCATAGGTTGGATGAGCGATGTAGTATTCGGTGGCAGGTGCACTACTTTGACGTTGGGATGCAAGTCATCCATGAATGGGCGGTCGCCCGGAGCATTGTAGAGCGACAAAAGAATGTGGAATGGGACGTTCTTCTCCAAGCAGTATTTCTCTACCTCCGGGATAAAGTGGTGGAAAAACCAGTCCTGGAAAATGGCCTGTGTAACCCAGGCCTTGGGGTTATTCTTCCACACAATAGGAAGAGAGCCCTTGGCTATGTTTCTAAGGGCCCTTGGGTTCTCTGAATGATAAACTAAGAGAGGCTTCAGCTTCATATCACCGGAAACATTGCCACCAAACAACAGAGTTAGCCTGTCCTTTGCTGCTCTGTAGCCTGGCATCAACTTTCCCTCCTTGCTGATGTAACTTTGGTCTGGCATCCTCTTCCAGTACAGTCCTGTCTCGTCCACATTAAACACCTGCTCAGGTAAATACGCGCCTTCATCAATAATTTCTTGAAGCGTTTCAGGAAATTCCTGGGCAGCTACCGTATCTGCACTCGCTGCCTCGCCGCTTACTTCTACGTTGTGAAGTTGGCTCCAGCCTTGAACCGATGAAGCCAGCTGTGGCTGGCATTAAAAGATGCGCCCTCTGATTCTTCGCCGTGTTTCTTCTTCAAGCCTTCGTAAAGCCTTTTAGCTTTCTCTTGAATCAGCATTAAGCTGAGCGAGACTCAACACTAATGCCGGTCCTGCCTCCGCACACTGAGAAGTTTCTCCATCTCCTCCACCAGTTTTCCACGCCTCTTCGATATTATTGTCTGCACAGCAGACTTTACATGTTCCATGATCTTGTCCTTGTTCTTTAGAATCGTGTACAGTAAAGTGCGCAAGAGCACAACCACTTGTCGAAGACGCGCGCTCATGCCGGCGTACGCCAGACACGTGAACTGACTTATGTGATCGGACACGCGAAGGCACATTCGCCTCTTTGAAAGTTCGCAACTTGAAGGTTCACGCGTGGGGGATTTACTGTAATTTATGCAGATGCTTCGCCCTCAGGGAGGTGGACCGTGACTTCCCTGCCAAGACTGCAGTGTGGGAAGAGGGGGGAAGAGTCCCTGTAGGGGAAAGACCCGACAGATCCTACCTGGGCCAGGTGACCCAGGTGATGAGGTGTGTTGACAGCAGGTGCCCTAGATACAGTGGGATGCGAAGGCACTTCGCCTTCTGGTCTTCCTGCTAAAACACACAAACCCCAAAACTGAGATCATGAGGAAAAGATCGTACAAATCCGGAATGAGGGCCGTTCTACAGAATGCCTGACCAGTACTCCTGGTCAAGGTCTCAAGGTCAAGTACTCAAGGTCATCAAACACAAGGAATGTCTGAGAAGCCATCACTGCCTAGGGCAGGCCACGGAGCATGATGACTAAATGTGCTGTCCTGGATGGGGTCCTGGGACAGAAAAAGGATGTTAGGGGAAAACTAAGGCAACCCTGTTAAAGTGTGAACTTTTTAGTAATGTGTCAGTGATGGTTCGTTGGTTGTGACAGATGTGCCGGAGGAACGTCAGATGTTATCTTTAGGGGAAATCCGGTATGGGGTGTATAAGGAACTGCTGTGTCTTCACAGCTTCTCTATATAAATCTAAAGCTATTCAAAATAAAATGTTTATTTAAATATTTTTAAAAATTAACAGACGAATTAAGATGTTTACCACAAAGCTTACAGTGTCTTAAAAATTCTAAAAGTTGGAGTATTTCTTTCCATAGTATTTTAAGATTTTATTTCAGATACTCGTATTGTGATGTTAACATCTATAAAATGTGCACTCCTTTTATGAAAACTCTTGATTTAATTAACAGACAAACTGTCTTGTAAGGGTTCCGTTCTGGGAGATGGAGCGTTACATTTTGTTATAGTTTCCCCCTTGATGTCCTTCATTTGCATTTTAGGAGAATGGATTTGACCAGCACTTCGTAAACTTTGTAAGTTAAATGTTAGTTATGCGTGGGCTTGCCTGCACTGGTCCTTTGAGCCTTGTGTCTGCACGGATCCCCTCTGAATAGGCTTCGAGGAAACGACTCATTTAGCAGCCTGGTAGTCGTCATCCTTGGCAGCGCGGGAGCAGTGGTGGCAGAGAAGGACCGGGACTTCGCGTGTGGCTGTTGTGTGAACGTCCTGCATTCCAGTTCTTTCCTGTGCAAGACTCCTATTTTCCGGGAGATAAACGTTTTGAGAAAAACGGAAGCATGCTGACTCAAATTCCATCCATCCACTCACCGACTGCCACTTACCTTGTTCATAAGCCCGGACTTGTCCTGTGGTAGCACTCATGACGGTGTAGTGACGGTTAATGTCTCTCCCGCACTGGTTTGTAGTACCTGCAAGGCAGCGGCATGTGTGTTGGGTCCCCAGGGACCCCCAGCCTCCAGCACCGTGGAAGCTGTTGGGAGGGAGCAGATGGCTGTGGGCGCCTCGCCTGCATCCAAGTTCTCCTATTTGAACAGCTCCGACCGAGGGTGTTCTCTGGCAGCTGGGCTTGTGGGCGCAGGGCAGGAATGTCAGAGATCATGCCCCAGGGTAACCCCTCACCAAAGAGGGCGGGGTGCTCCTGACTAGGAGGCAGTTCTGAGGTCCGTGCGCGGCCTCTCCAGGGTCCCCAGCAGCTGCCACTCTGCACAGAGCTGTGACCTGCTTCCTGGAGCTCCCTTTTTGACTCTTTCCTTCCGTCTCACTTCCCCTGGTCTCAGGGTCAGCTTTGGGAGAACCCACACTGAGACCGTATGCAGTAAGTCGGTATCTATCGGTGAAATTAATAAGCATAGTAAATGAGTAAGATCCTGACCATTCAAAGAAATTATCATCCAGGAAGAAAAAGGTTATCAGAGCTGTGCAGATCACATGAATGAGACATAAAGTGACGATTGATGAGAAGTACAGACAGAACATGCGTATTCAGGGGAAGACGTCGCTGCAGACTTCCCTCCTTACCCTTCTGACTCAGGGTCGGCTCCTGCCTGGTGACCTTGAGCCATCCAGCACCTCACCTGTCGCGTGGCTCACATCCCGGTGCCCTCGTTCTGCCAGCCGGTGAGCTGGGAGGACAGAGGTGTGTCTGCTGTGTCCCCTCGTGTCTCGACACTGGGACAGTGCCCCGCAGACAGTAGCTTCACAGGTGTCTGTTGGGCCCGTGCGTTCATGGGGAGACTAAGCGGCAGAGTTTCCATGAGGAGAGGGTTGGAGTCGTGGGCACGGATTCAAATCCCACTCCAGTCACCGCCTAACTTGCTGATTTCAGGCCCGTTGCTCAGTCAGCTCATACGTAAAGTGAAGAAATCGAGGCACACCCTTCAAGGTCGTGACATCAATTAAATGAGGTCATTTCCTGTAGTACCTGGAGTTACAGCACAGAAATGAGCGCTCAGATGTTCACTGCTTTTGTGGAGAAGATGGCGTTTGAGGTTGGGTTGAAATTGGACGAGGAAAAAGTGGAGAAGGGAGTTTAAATTACAGCAGAAGGAACAAATGCCAGAACGTGAGATTAAGGACGGTAGGGAGCTTATTAGCAGGGAGCTGTGTGCCTGGACCCGAGAACAGGAAGTAGGGAAATGAGGCCACGGAGAAGCCAGACCACGGAGGTTCGTGAACGCCAGCCTGAGTTGTCTGACTTTATTCCACCAGCAGAAGGGGAGATATCTGAGAAGGGAACTGCCCATGAAGTGACGGGATTATGAACTATGAGTTACAGTACCCTGAAGAGAGGTCAGAAATGAAAATAGAGGTTTGGGAGTGGTTCACGTAGTTTATCATGAAATTGGCAAACCAGTCAGCATACACTGCCTGTCTACCACAGTAGGAAGTAGAATAACAGGGTCCTTTCCACAGTCAAGGAACTTGGTTAGCGTCACGCTGTTTAACACTTACCTTGCTAATTAGTATGTACAATATCGTAATATTTTTCTTCTGGGATATTTCCCAGGTAATCTAAATCTTCCCCAAATGAACAGATTGGTGTGGGCTCAGCGGCATTGTCAAAGAGGTCTCTTGGAGATGTATTCCTTGAGTGAACCAGGAGATAGGAGTGAGGTCCTCCCGGGCAGTGGGCAGTGGGCCATTGTCCGGCTACAGGCACAGCTTTGGAGTCACAGTACCTTGTCATTCGTTTTGCCAACTGTCAGTTAACTTCTACAGAAATTTAAATAATAAAGACTCCTTTATGTGCATTTGTTCACATCGTTGCTGTTTTCAGGGCTCCTTGTCTCCTTGTGTAGATCCTTATTTCCATTTCATGTTTATATAAATGATGCCTTCAGATTTTTTAAATTTCCAGTTATTCCTTGCTAGTATATAGAAATACAGTGGCATGTTTTTTTGTTGTTGTTTTTTTACTAACTGCATTCTCTGACCTCGCTAAACTCTTTTTTTAGATCTGGGAACTTTTTTATAGATTCTTTGGTGTTTTCTATGTAGAAAATCATAGAGTCTGCCAATAAAGACAGTTTTGCTTTTCCCTTTTATATCTGTAGGCTTCATTTTTTTTCCTTGCCTTCTTGTACTAGTGAGGGCAGCAGTGTTGAGCACCATGAGCTTCTCGCTCTTACAGGGAAAACACTTCTTATTTTCCATTAAGTCTGTTAGCAGTAGATTTTTCATGCATACTCTTTTTTTTTTTAAATTTTTTTATGCGGTACGCGGGCCTCTCACCGTTGTGGCCTCTCCCGTCGCGGAGCACAGGCTCCGGACGCGCAGGCTCAGCGGCCATGGCTCACGGGCCCCGCCGCTCCGCGGCACGTGGGATCCTCCCAGACCGGGGCACGAACCCGCGTCCCCTGCATCGGCAGGCGGACTCTCAACCACTGCGCCACCAGGGAAGCCCTGCATGCTCTTAATCTGATAGAGGAAGTTCTTTATTGTTACTGATGTTTGCCTTTTTTTTCTTTCCTTTTTAGCAGAAGACTCAGAAAGTGGTGTTTACATGCGATTCATGAGGTCACACAAGTGTTACGACATCGTTCCAACCAGCTCCAAGCTTGTGGTCTTTGATACCACGTTACAAGTGAGTGTGCCCAGTTTCCCTGAATCTGGGGTATATTATTTGGTGCCTGCTTTGTTGGGTAAGTTAAATCCAGCAGTACCCGCAGACAGTATCCAGTCCTTTCTGCACGTCAGGTCCCGTGCTGAGGTTTTGTCTGAGTTGTCAGTCGTCATGGCAGCCTTCTGAGGAATGTGCTGTTTTACGGATAAGGAAGCTCATTATCTAGAGTTTGCTCACATTCTAGCATTTAAGAACTCAGCCCACAGAGCTGGTGAGTGACGGGGCCTGGAATTGGCGCTCGGGTCTGTGTGATGCGCGCCGGCCCCAAGCCCTTAACCGCTAGCTGCACCTCCTCCCTCGGCTCGTCCTGAAGCCCTTAGCTGTTCAGTAGAACGGTGAGGTTGAAATAATACTGGTTAAAAAGAGAGCATCACTCAGGTGGGTAATCTCTTAAGAGAAAACTCTGCTGATCTCTTTCAGCAGAAAATTTGAACCTGATTATTTTGGTATTAAAATTATGCTTATTGTAACTCGTTTTATACCAATATGACTTACAATCAGACGTGAAAAGTCCCAAATAATACATTCAATGCGAAGACCAGATTACATCCGGTGTAATAAAATATGTGTGCGTACACAGGTATACGTGTGTGCATTTGGTGTATAGATTTATACATAAATCTTTACCAAGCAGGATTGTTTTCACCTGGGTTCCCCCAAAGTAGATGCTGAGCCAGGAATTCATGGGCAGTGGGCGCTTTATTAGGGCGTCCTGCCAGGGGAGCCCCTGGGGGACTGGGGGAGAAGGGGAAGGGGCAAAGGCCAGGGAGGGCAGCCTCCGCTGATCCCTCAGGGGGACCCCAGCGGGTAAGGTGCCTGTGCGAGTTCACCCCGGCCTCTTTCAGCCTCGTCCAGGGCTGCCCCGGGAGATGTGTGCCCTGGCCCTGCCAGCTCGTCCCAGCGCTCGGGGCCCTCTCCCCAGGCCTCCCCAGCCTGCTCTGCTGGCGGCCCCAGCGGCCCGCCCTGTGGCTCTTCCTTGAGGCCGCCTGGGCTCTAGGAGCTGCTTTGCCCGCATCAGGCTCAGCCGTACAGGATTCTCAGGGATGTAGACGTGGCTTAGTTCTTAATTTTATTTTCCAATTTTTTTTTTTTTTATAAACTGGCCTAAAATCCTATGACTTTGCTAAATTCACTTCGGACCAGGTAACCTTCAAGGTCCCTTCTACAACTCTGATTTCTTTGACACAAAGAGGACAGAGAGGCATCCAGGTGCAGTGTTACAGGAAATATTCTCTACCACGGTAACTACAGACTTCAATAGTAAAGTAACGAGAAATTCTGAGTTCCCCAAATAAAGAAGTAGACCAGCCCGTCTCACCCTCGCTCCACCCTCCAAAGTCCTGACTGTCGCTTTCCACCAACAGAAAAGCACATGACAGCGCGTACGCCCTGCACCTGCTTTCACTCCTGTTCAGCTTTTCCCGTGTTGTAAAATTAACTCTTTTCTGAATTTAGAATTTAGCCAGAGTGAGTAAGACATGAAAAATGTGATGCTTTATGGATCAACGGAGGTCACTAATCCAGTGACTCTCACTTCCCTAATTAATAGAAGCTGCATGTGCCTGTCTCCTGGAAGTCACGAATCCTTGAGGCTCTAAGCTTTAAAGGAGCTAAAACTGGTTACCATGGAAATGGGGGGGTTGGCACTGGTTACAGCAAAGTTAAAGATGTGTTTGAAAGGGCTGAGTCGACTGTTGTCTAGACACAGACAGCAGTGGTGGTCGTGGACATGTCTCGAGAACGAGGGAAGCGAGCAGGGGAGACACAGCCCGTCCCCGAGACCAGGTGACCGTCCTCTGGGCGGGGTCGTGGCCTAGACGGCTCCCTGTGCGCGCATGTGATAGGACAGCATGGAGCCACCGAGGAGGGCGGAAAAAACGTTTGTGGAGAATGTGTTTGTTTTTTCTTTTAAGATTTAATTTTTTATTTATTTTTGGCTGTGTTGGGTCTTCGTTGCCGTGCATGGGCTTTCTCTAGTTGCCGCGAGTGGGGGCTACTCTTCGTTGTGGTACGCGGGCTTCTCATTGCGGTGGCTTCTCTTGCTGCAGAGCACGGGCTCTAGGCGCGTGGACTTCAGTAGTTGCGGCACGTGGGCTCAGTAGTTGTGGCACACGGGCTCAGTAGTTGTGGCTCGCGGGCTCTAGAGCGTGGGCTCAGTAGTTGTGGCGCACAGGCTTAGTTGCTCTGCGGCGTGTGAGATCTTCCTGGACCAGGGCTCGAACCCATGTCCCCTGCATTGGCAGGTGGATTCTTATCCACTGCGCCACCGGGGACGTCCCCTAATGTATTTATTTTTAAGTTAAAAAAAAGCAGGTTGCAGAGCAACACTTATATTCTGACCAAGTTACCCTGAGGGCCCAGAGTATCAGAGACACAGCTGGTCTGGGAACCAGAGTCAGCTGTTCACAGGTGAACTGAAAACGGGGTCGCAGACAATGGAGAAGAGAGGGAGAGAAGGGCCGCTCGCCCCAGGCGGCCGCGCCCTCAGCCTCCAGCTCGGCCTCTGCGAGGCCCGTGGGCCTCCGGCAGGTGGGGCTGTGACGCGCCCCAGGGTCCTGTCGCGTCGGTGTGAGAGATGGCGCCTTGGTCCTGGTGCCCCGGAGCCCAGTGTACGTCCTAGAGTCGCGTCCCTCCCCCTTGGCCCGCCTGCTTCTCCCTCGGCGTCGGTGGTCGTCCGGAGCCCCGACTGCGGTGTGACTGAGGGAGGGGGTGATGCCCGACTCCCACCGGCTCCCTCACCCAGTGTCGCGGGGCGCCCGGTGCTCAGGCTGGACGGGGCAGATGCCGCCCGCTCGGCTTGCACGGTCACTCGGCATCTCAGCCGAGTTGTTCCTTCCCGACCAGGACCCCGTAGTAAGCCAGGAACTGTTTCTCGAGAGGAAAATAACTACCTGCAGACGAAGGCATCGCTTTTTGCTCTTTGTTTGTTTGTTCCAAAAACCCAGTGAATCTCCTGCTGGTGCCTGATGGGGGCCTCATTCGGCGTCCCCAGCTCGGCCTCGCAGGGGGCCCCAGGCCCGGGTGGACGAGGGGCCTGCCCTGCTGCAGAGCTGTGTCTTGCTCTGGGCCCCTGTGAAGACTTAGTCTGACCGTGTCAGAGCAGCGCTCAGACACGGTGTGTGCCGCTTGCGGAGACCTGCCAAGGGTGGCAGGGGTGCGGGCAGCAGCCTGAGTGGCATGGGGGTCTCTCCAACGCTCCAGGCTGCGGCCTCCCTCACCCTGACCCCTCACTGGCTGGCTGGCCGATGTCACACCGAGGCGTCTAAAGCGTTGCCACTTCCTGCCCATCAGACCCGTCAGCACTGTGTCATCGATGTCACGGGACCGTGTGATGTGAGGCCTGTGGGGTGGTCAGCATCTCTGCAGACTGTGTGCAGTCAGAGAGCCAGAGGTGAGGGTGTGAGAGTGTGCCATGCAATGTCAAGGCAGACTGCTTCTCGGGGTCCTTGTACGTTGGTACAGAGAAAAAGCGTGCGCGGCTGACGGCTGCAGGGCCCTGCGATGCTGCGTCTGGAGTTACAGGAATCCAGTCACTCTGGGAGATGCGGTCACAGCCAGATGGGCAGCTTCCCTGGGGTGTGACGGCCAGCCTCTCCATCTGCGCACTTCCCCAGGGGTGCTCTGCTGCGCTTGGCTTGCCAATCTGGTAGCTTCAGGGGCGTCCTCCCTAGGCCTCCTCGGCACGATATCTCTCGCCCCGTGGGTCCGAGAGCCAGTGTAGGGATCCCAATGACATACTCAGGACTGAGCGGGTAACCACAGTGTGGCCTGCAGCCCCGTGAGCTCCTTGGGCTTGACCTTGGCTGAGACTCCGTCTGTCACCTGACTGACTGTAAGCCCCCGCTTTGACCAGTGACCATGGTGGCATTTGGGGTTCTAGGAATTAGCGTCCACTCAGAGCCAGCATCCGGTCACCCTGGAAAGTCTGCGTCTCCTTTTCCCCAGTGCTCAGTCATCCTAGGAAGTGGGACAGGAGGAACGGCACGTCCTGGGCGGGGCACTGTCCTCGGGGGACCCCGCGCCCCTGAGAATGGGGCTCTGGGTCTGAGAGCGGCTCAGGTCTGGAAACGGTGAGAGGACAAGACTCCATGTTGATGACTCAGGTTGGGGTTTTGGCCCCTGGACTGAGAATTTTTCTTGTTACGTAGATCAGGCAACACTTTAGAGGGCCATGCATCTGTCTCACTCCTAGGGTTGCTGTAACTGGTTAGCCACGACCAAACCGTCTGCGAATCAGAACATTCTCACCCCTGGCCACGAGCCTGCCCTGCTCCCTCAGGACCTGCCACCACACTGGCATCAGTGAGGCCGTCATGGTGCTGCCCCCTGCAGAGCGCAGCCAGCACGCAGCTTCTCAGGGGGTAGGGGTCCCCGCACGCAGACATTTCTCAAAAACCTGGGGAGGCTGTGACCTCGGGGCCCTTTGGGGAAAGGTAGCTGAGGGCTGGGTGTGCAGGCCGCATGTGCTGAAATCTCCCTGAGCCTGTGGGTTCACTCTTCCTCGTTAGGCCTCCGAAGTTCTGGCATCTCGGCCTCCTCAAACATGCACTCGGCAATGCCCTGCATTTCAAGGCAGTCAACTCAGAAAGCTTCAGAGCCTTTCCCAGTGGCATGCACTAAACGTTAAATCCACATTTCTGGTAAATCCACCTGTGTCAATAAACCCTACCGTATCCAGTGTTCAATTCCCTCTCCTTGGTCTAATATTATTAGAAGCTATTCCCACACTTACTTCCCAGGTTTCTGCAGATATGAAATAGCGGAGCTTTATCGTTGTTTCCATGTGTGAGGCCCCCTCTCGGGGGCAGGCTGGAGTCTGTCCCCAGTCACAGGTCTCGGGGCCGCAGAGGCAGCTGTGGTTGTCTGGAGAATGGAGAACGAGCGACCCCGTGCAAGGCGTCTGCCCAGGAAAACTTGCTGCTGGGCTTCCAGGCAAAGAAAGGCAATTCTGACACCACGCA